TGGACTAGATGACCCACAGAGGTCCCTTCCAACCCCTACTACTCTGTGATTCTGTGATTGTGAAAGACCTTTCTGTGGGGGAGGGGGTGTGTGCCGGTTCAGTCTGATCAGACATCACCTCATGAAGCCTGTGCCCATACTTGAATGCTAAGAATGCAATTAAGAAAGAGAAAAGGAAGCAAGCGTAGTTCTTGGGCACATGAGCTGGGCCTGAAATTCCTCGTTTGAAGCGGTCTGAAAATGCAATGATGGGGGAATTGGAGCCATGTGCCCTTTTTGCAGAGGGAAGTTCCAAACCATGCGAGCAACCGTGAATTGTTGCTGTGGCCACCATCTTAACGTCTGACATTTCTGTCATGTTCTCTTTCCTGGCAGCTCAGGAATCTTGGACTGATCCCTCTACTGTAAGAGGAGGCCTTCAAAAGAAAAAGGTAAGCAATATGCGTTGGTTGTCTTTTAGCCAGGGAGCTCCATGCAACAGATGGATTCCTATAAATGCTCCCCATCGCACTCGACAGGTCTCACCCTGTGGTGGTCTGTTTACTTCTGCATTACATGCATAGCTAGGACTAGCGTCTCCGTCATCTTGACCTTTTGCCATACAAACTCTCGTGCCGTTGTCCAGAGTGGCTGTTTTGTAACGTGGTTATCATCTGTGATGCTGCATCCTCTGTCAGTACTTGCCAGGCTGACTGCTGTCACTTGTTGCTAGAAATACAGATTTAACCTTATCCCCTTGCCCACATGCCTCTTCTGACAGTGGCTGGGAGGATCATGCTCCCTTCACACCTGACAGCTGAGGGCAGCATTTCCCCTCAGCATGCTGGGACCCACAGTGATTGTCGTCAGATGCTGATACCAATTGATATGGCACTCCTGCTTAAAGGAATTGTGACCTGCCGGCTACGTTGGCCCTGCTGTGCTCTGCCTTGCACTGGAGGACATGCGAGCTGAGCTCTTTTGCAACAAATGCTCTCAGTACCCGGTTTCTATCACTGCTGCCTGCTGGCAGGTGTGACAAGAAGTTTCTTTGGCAGCGTTCCTACCCCCCACTCCTCTTCTTTAGCTTGGAACAGACTTCTCGCCCTTTTTCTGGCAGCATAGCTGGGAACCTGCTTCAGGCTGTGCTCACTACAACAGGATTAGCCTCTTGTTAAAGCCATCTCCTTTTGATCTAGCCCTGTCGGAGCGAATCTATCCTGACTCTCTGGCTTAGCAGGGGCACGATGAAGTGTTTGCAAGAGGATTCTCCCCCCCTGTCGTAGGATTTTCCCCAACACTTGCTCCGTTGGACACTTTACTGCTGCTAATCTCCACATTCAGGACTCGTGCCGTCGCAGAGCCAAGGCGGCTTTCTGAGGACCAGTGCTTTCAGGGGCAACAGATCTGTTTGATTGAACAATTCCAGAGGAGTTTTCTTGCTGTCGCTCTGACTGTTCATCTAGGATGCAAGAGGAAGGGCCCCACGCTCTGAGTCAGGGGGCTGAAAGAACAGGGATGTGTTACACATCATCTTGAGAACTGGGCACTCTGCAAGTTAGAAAGGAAGTTGAATTTGACTGCGGAGAGTGCAACCAGTCCTCCTTCCTTGGACTTGGTTTTCTTAATTTTTTTTTTTTTTTTTTTCTTTCTTTCTGTTTGCTGACAGTTGCCTGAGAAATTTACTCCTCTGGCCCCCATCACAGCTCCAGTAATGAGCCTGCCTGCTGAGCCCCAAGGGATCCATCCTCAGCTGTCCAGGTTGCAGGAATCTGTCCAGTCACCCCCAGGAGCACCCAAGGAAGGCAGCCTGCAGGTACCCAGAGGAAGTGGGGTGTTGCCCAGCCACCAGCTCCTTTTCAAGTAGAAAAACAGCTCAACTTTTGAGATTCTTGTTACCTGGCAGCTGCAGAGCTTGTGTTGCTCCCTAGCCTTTATAAGATGTTTCTGCCTGAGTGTTAGAGGAATTGCCAGGATGGAGAATGACACCTGGGTATGGCTGGGAGAGAGGAAGGGAGGCTGGGCAGGCTGTCAGTCTGCTGGGAGTTTGGAGGCCTGAAGCTATACCACAGTCTGAAGATTATAATCTCACTGTGCTTCCAGGTATTATCTGGGTTTGCAAAGGGGTGGAATTCTTTCTGCTCATAGTTGCAGCAGGCGAACCTGCCTGCTCCAGCCTTTTATGCTCCTGTTGCATTCATTTAGCTGCTGCTCTCTCTGTCAGTATCACCAGCTACCTGTGGAGAGGGTTGAGAGGAAGGAGGTGCCCCCTGAGCACCAGGCTCTGAAGACCACATTTGAAGGGTTGGTGCAACGCTGCTCTGCTGTCGCCGCTGATCCAGTAAGTCCTTCTTTCTCTGATCTTTGGCTTTGTTGCCCTCGTAGATGTTTGATTGGTGCTTCGTTCTTTTGGTTGGGAAAAGGGAGGAAGAGTCTTGTCCTTATAACCAAGTTAATCTCCATCTGCCTCCTTCCTCCGCTTCCGTAGCCTTGTCCATCTCTAAGGAAGTGAGATACATTCTGTAGCATTTATCCACTGCTTCTTTTCGACTCTCTGGAGCAATGGTTTTGTCCTCCTGGCTCTTTTCTCTGAGGAGAGTGGAAGAAATGAGCCAGCTAATTCAGCTTCCTTTTTCACTGGCTTCATCTGTAGGTAGATCCTGCAGAGCTGGTATTACCAGCTGTCCTCAGAGCTTAGAGGGAAAGGCTGCTTCCTGGCAGGAAGAGAAAGCCAGAAAATCTTTGTGCCCGAGTCACTGTAATTTCTCCACCCTGATTCCTGGAAGACTCTTGGCATACATGTCACGTTGCATGAATATATCAGGCTAGACTGTCTGGAAGCAGAATGGCAGTGTTTGCAGCACCGTGTTAGGTTGCTAAATCTTCCCAGAGCTTGGGGGCACCGTGAAGCCTTCCAGAATACCTCTGCTTCGTGGGTGTTGGGATGAGCACTGAGCCCAAACTGCTGTCCCGGAGTCAGACAATTTGTGCGTAGCAGCAGCTTCCGCATGTTTGCTCTGTGCTTTCTGAGAGTGCAGTGTGGCAATTTCTGGGAGAAAACCTGAAGGTTCCCTCTGTGGACAGAAAGGCCTGTTGGTCTGGCCTTAAGCACTCAGCTTACACGGGGGTTGAATAGCTGGTTTGATACAGCAGTGCGATGCCCCTGAGTTCTGAAGGCTGCCAGGCCTGTTCCCAGCATTGCCCAGAGCCAGGCATTTCTATCCACAATATAATTTAACTGCAAGTGGATTATCCAAGGTGGGGTTAATGGGGTCAGTCCCACCAGAGCTGCGGTACTCGGGCCCTTTCCTTGGTGGTTACCTGGAGTGGGAAGGATATTCCCTCTTCTTCTCAAGGAGACCAGGAAGAAGCTGTTGCTTAGGTCAGCCCGGGCTGAGGCTGGCTGAATGCCCCGTGGGTCAACTAGCGGATGTTTCTCAAGCTTTGGCAGTAGTCGTTCTGTCCTGTGGTCTGCGAGCACAGGCACCAGGGAGGAGCCCCTAGGCTAGGAGATGGGAAAAGGGGCAAATCCAGCTTCCTGTCTTGGGGAGACAACGCCTGCATGTATATGTGCAGTGAGGGCGTGGCTGGCTTGTATCACAGTCCTTGAGATGCAGCCGAATTGTATGGTGCTGTGGAAAGAACAGAGGAGGGGAGGGACTGAGTGAGAACAACTTGGTTCTGAGAGAGGTGGCTTTGAAGCTCCGGCAGAGCTAGCAGTACCCATTTCACTTCAGAAAACCCGAAGGAAGCTGGAGGATGCATTGCAGCGGCTTGAGTGTTTGTACGAGAAGCTCCGCGAGCAGGCGGTAAGTAGATGCCACCATTCCCTAGGGTCCAGCCAGGCTCTTTATGCCACCTTTCTACTGGGTTGTGGGCCTTGGTGTCTGTCCCATGCTGACAGCACGTATCCTCCTGAGTGCTAAACCTTATAATGCGCCTTGAATCCAGCCAGCCTTATTTTGTCTTCCTTAACCTTGGCCCAGACATTGTGTAAGGAAAAGCTAGGGAGGTATTTTCAGGGTCCTTTTGTCCCCAGGAACTGTACTGGCAGATAGACAGGTTCCAGACTGGAATGGGTAATTGGAAGTAGTTAAGTGTGAACCTAGGGTAACCTCCAGCTAAGAAAACTCTGGAGCTGCTGGTCGATGCCAGTTGCTGGAGGGATAGCTATCAAGGGAAGAATCCTCTTAACGTATACCCTTGTCCTGAGTGTCCATATTAGGCCTGAACAGAGACAGGATTCTGTGCTAGATGGACCTTTGACCTCCTGAAATACATCAGATATTCAATTAATGGTGAAGTGTCGTTACTTAGGACCTGCATTCACTGTAACCCAGCCTGGGTATTAGATTAATGTTTGTTGTGGGCTGGGAAACCAAAGGAAAAAGCAGGCTGTCCTTCCTGCCAGTGCTTGACTGCACAGGTGCTGTTTGGTGAGGATGAGGTAGAGAACAGGAGGGAGGGGGGCCTGTGTTTCAGTGCTGAGCATGCTGACTCGTTTCTGCTTGCTCCCCACAGCTCTCTCCAACCATCCTCATGGGTCTCCATGAAATTGCCCACTGCATTGAGGCTAGGAACTATCAACAAGGTCTCCTGGTTCATACCCAAGTAGTGAGCAGCAGCAGTTTCAGTGAGGTGTCTGGTTTCATGCCCATCCTGAAAGTCCTCATGACCATTGCTGGCAAGCTGAATGTGTAAAGCATGGAGCAGCTGAAACAGTGCACACTGAGACCTGGTGGACTCTTCACCTAATGATGTGCTGCAGGTTACGGACTCTCCTTCTGACTATGGAGAAATAAGTCTGTACCAGTGCCTGGAGCTGTGCTGGGCCAGCGCGCCTGGCCCCATCCACTCTCCAGACAGCCAACTGGGGCCTGGAACTCCTGGAGACTGTTCTTTCTCTCTCTTCTTTCTCACTAGTCTGAGGCCGCTTCCCAGCCCAAGGATCTCAATTTCAGGCTGTCTAGGTTGCACAGAGATCCTCCCTCTTCCCTGTTTCCCTGGCACAAAGGGGAAACAACTTCCTACCCAGACTGATGTTGCTTTCTTTTTTAGGACGGGGCTGGCACCTGCAGCACCATCACATGGTAGAGGCTCAGGCTCTATTCCCTGCTGCAGTGTAAACTGCCTGAGCGATGGCTGGGCTCCCTTGGGACCTAAGCTGGGGTGTCCCTGTTCTGTTGTGAGGATCTCTCCTCTGGTTCCTCCTCTCTCTTCATTCTTATCCTCCACTCACCCTCTCACCCCTCTGCACCCATATCCTGCTACAACTAGGGCTAACTAACAGACTGCTCTGGGCTAGCTTTGGTTCTCTCTCTCTCTTCTTCACCCAGCCCTTTCTTTTCATAGTCAAGTCTCCTGTTCACCCTCTATCCCCTCTCCTTTATATCGTTTCCCCCATAAGCTGCAGGCTTGAGCTCTTCATGTTTCAGGCCCAGAGCTGATTCCCCTTCCAGCTCCTGGGACTTTCCCATTCAGGAATGCTGGCAAGTTGGACTGCTCTGTGCACTCCTCCCCAGAGGTGGTCACATCCTGTGTTTGGGATGAAAGCTGCACTTTCTGGCTCCTGGCCTTTTGCACTGCCTTTATGTTAGCACAGTTGGCCTTTTGCCCACTGATATTACCTAAAGGCTTGCTACATCAGGCTTCTCAGACAGTCTAAGGGCTTTAAGAGGAACAGGGATTGTTCAGGTCCCATAAAGAATCCCCTAAAGCTACTCTGACCAGCCCAGACTTGAGCAGGGGGAGGCAGCTCATTGCTCCAAGTGTGGTGCATTCATTCTGCCTATGTAACAGATACATGCAAGGGTGGTTCTCAGAGGCCCCTTGGCACTATGGTGGTAGGAACATGCCACAGGAGGTGATGCTGTCAGGTCTCGAGGATATGGCTGTGCTGAGGCTTTTCCTCACTGGCATTTCCTCTGGGGTAAAATAGATGAATGAAGCATATCTGTCCTGGCTAAGTGTGGGAAGGCAGATGGGATTTTAGGGCACATCTCTGTGTGTGTGTGTTTGTGTGTTTGTTTGTATTCCCCTCTCTTCCTCTCTCTCACCCTCTTTCATGCTAACCAGGCAGCGTAATTCTTGGGCCCTAGCTGGGAGCAAGGCTTCTTCCCGATATTTGGCTGCAGCCAGCCCCTGCTTCCTCTGCTTGCTGCTTGAGTGATAATGCCATTGCGGGCTGGTGGTTCAGTGACCGACAGGAATCAGCCTGCTCTACCATGAGACTTAGGAGGGAGGGGGATCGGAGAAGGGAGGGAGAGGACATGTCCCGTTCTCTCCTTTCCAGGTCAAAGTGCCTCCTTGTTGCTGCTGTGTCATTTCTATTGCTGCGGTTTGATGCACTGAGAGATTACAGAACAGTGAAATAAAAGCTGTGTTTTGTGATGCCGCTAGCCTTTTTCCCACAGGCTTGTCACCTCTGGCTACAGGGGACTTCCCTCAATCTGCAGGGCTACCCCCAGGAGCTGAGTTCTCAGCTCTGGTGAGAGGGGGAATTGACAACGGTGTGGGGCACACCAGATTCTGGGCTCTGCTGGTGTGGGCAGCAGCCGTCTTGGTGCAGTGAGACCTCAGGCCTTACCCTAAGGCCGCAGGGTCAGGACACTGATCGTCTCCAGATCACCCACCTCAGATGTGACTGTTCATCGGCATCAGACACGAGAAGGTCCCTGGGATGGCTGAGGTTCTCTTCAGGAATCGCAGCAGTGTTGGGGATTTTACGCTGGATGCTGGAAGTTGGAAATACGTCAGTAAGTAAACAGAGAGCCCTTGATGAGATCCTCTCCTGTTGGAAATCAGTGCCACACCACCGAAACCATGCCACTTAAACTAGCATGAGGATCTGACCTGTGTGGAAATTGGATTTATACTACTGAATTGTCAGTTCTTACCATTAGTTAATAACTCCTGAATCTGTTGGCTGATTTCATTTAAGTTTTTAAGGAGGTAGGAAGGCTGAAGGGAAAGATTGGTACTGAGATAAAGTCAGGGGGGAATCAAACTGGATTCTGCAAAAAGACTGATGTAATCTCAGAATATTTTTGTTTTCTTTTTGCTGTCAGCTGGCTAGTTAGTATATATGTACATGCCAGCCAGTCAGCACACGTGAACTCTGAAACATGCAGGACTGTATTACCTGGCTTGTGTTTGGAGGAGTTGGAAGGAAGTAAATTTTGAGAGAGATTGTTTGGATGGGGAAGATCTGAAGGGCCAATTGCTGGGAAGGGAGCAGGGTTTATGAAGGTTCTGGGGTACTATGGACACAGTACGCACATTAAGGGAAAACCAGCCTGGCAGAGGCAAACACTAAGCGTAAGGGAGCCTTGCAGAGCTTTTGCAGCCTAGTCTGGGGGCAGTTAGCAGCCAGTCTGGCCTCCCAGCTGCCCCCATCAGGCAGATGCAAGTTGATTTTCAGAGGCAGCACCTGTGTTATGGCCCCTTCTGATGCTGAGCAGGTAGCCCTGGAGGCATACTTAATGAGTATATGAGGAAAGTCCTAGCTCTCCGAGCTCATTTAACAAGCCTGGTATTGCTCAGATTGTGCCTTTCTGGATCCAGTTATAATACCCTATGCAGTCCAGGCCCTTGTTTTTCGGCCACTTGTAGGACTGAGAAATAAGCACGGATTTTCCATGTGTTTCTCAGATGCATCTGACTTGACTTCCCTCCAGCATGCACCGCTACTGCTACCCATGGGCACGTGCAGAGGCCAGCTATTTATCCTGCCTTTGCTGCAGGTCCTTCCCGCTTGCCCCCTTGTCCCACTGTTGCTCAGTTTTGCTTCAGGTTTACCCCAGCGAGCACGGTCCCAAAACCCGTGGTCAGGAAACCAGGCAGGAGCAGCAGGGAAACCCGCTTGAGGGTCTTGGAGAGGCTGGTGGCAGGACCCCATCCCTGTGGCCCTGGTACGGTGTTTATCGTCATTAGCCCCGCTGGAAAGCACTCCTCCATTTCAGCCCTGTCTGTGCTGGCTGCTGGACGCGTCTGGTCGCGCAGCTGGTCCACGAGCAGCAGCTCCCCAGCCTGGCCTCCTCCCCGGCGGGCCCACGCTGCCGCAGCGTCCCTGCGCTGATCGGCGGGGCACACGGCGTCTGCTGGGCCAGGAGGCCTCCAGGTTGGGGGGGCTGAAGGGAAGGGTCTCTGCTGGGCGAGGAGGCCTGTGGGTCGGCAGAGAGCTGGGGGGGGCTGAAGGGAAGGATGCCTGGGCGCAGGGAACGGAGCCCTAATCCTGCTGCAGATAACAGCGTCTCTGCCGGCTGGGCTGGTGTGTGTTTGGGGGAGCTGGAGGGGCAGAGATTGTTAGGCAGTATTTGTTTGTAAAGCCACTTGCTCTGAAGATAATGCTTGCACTAACTTCTATTGAGGGAGCAGTGTGAGTCCCCACAAAGTCCTTTCCCAAAGTGTCTTTGAAGCCAAGAACCCATTGAAAGGAAGAAAGGCCGAGAGAGGGGATTAGTTTGTTCAGCAGCTGTGAATTTCAGTGGGAGGCTGATGAACTCCAAAGTCTTTGTTGGGATTTTTTTTGTGAGGAGCCCGGCTGGAGGGAGAGACCCACACAGGGCCGCGGCCTCAGACAAGAAGGAATCCGAAGCGGCAGGGAGCTGTAAACGGGCCACAAGGACTTTTCCCAAACACTTTTCGGAAAAGGTGTTGTGAAGAGAGCGGAGGGGGATTAGCATGTGAAATGACACTTTCCATTGACTCCACAGAGGGGAGGGGAAAAGGGCTGGCTGGCTGATTTATTAGCATTTTGTTCCCTGCTCTGTTCTGCTGCCCCAGCAGCCCCCCTCCTCCCTGAGCCTTCTGAAGAGGTTTGGGTTGGGAAGGGGAGCGGGGGGGCTGCCTGCTTGTGTGTCATCTGGGCGAAGGTGACCACCTGGGAAGCTGAATGTAAATATTTCTCCTCTGAGGAAAGTGGCTTCATTAAACCGACATGAATACATGGAAGCAGCCGCACAAGGGCAGCAGTGCCTTTAGGCTCAGGGCTCCTGGCGCTGGGGAGGGGGGACCCCTCCGGGCCCCGACCTGCTGCTGAGGTCAGCACATTTTGCAGCTGCCCCGTCGCCATTTTCCCCCAGAGAAAGCCACGTCCCTGCCTGTGATGCTTCCCGCACGTCCCCTTCCCCGACAGTGTCACCGTGCCCAGCAGCACGGCCTGGGCTGTGCCATGGCTTGCGTGGGGCAAAAATCTTGGCAGGGAGGGATAGGGTAGCGCAGCCTGCTGCAGAAGGGGGAGGAAGCGGGAAACACCTTGCCGATCTTCTCCTCTTCCTGTGTTTCCACGTGGCTGGGGAATGGGGGCACAGGGGGAAAAGGCTGGTGGAAGATGTCCTCTCTGCCGGGCCGTCACCCTCAAGCCAAGGGCTTTCCCTGTGGGGCGAGAGGCTCTCGCTGCCTCTTTGCTTCCCTGCCCAAGGACGCATCCCACCACAGGGAGATGGATGGAGGAGCTGCCAGCAGAGATGCAAGGGAGACTGAGGGCAGGGTCGCTGTGTGAATGAGAACCTTGGCGCAAACAGCTGGTGGTTTGTGTGTGAAGTTTCGGCTTTCCCTGACAATGGTCCAAGACTGTTTCTTGCAATTTTTGAAGGGCCAGAGTCTTGCTTGCCATGAATACTCTTGCTGTGGTGAGACCCCAGCTTGCTGTGGGTCCAAGTTCCTGCCTCCAGTGAAGCAGTCGTAGGATCGAGGGGGTGTTTGATAACGAAGAGACTTGCACAGACTGCTGAGTCTGTATTAACATGTCATCTCCGAAATGGGCAACTGGGCCCCTGTCTACCCCGCTCCCACCCCTTTCCCCCGGCAGCAGCACTGCAGTTGGATGCAGCCTCAGACAAATCCGAGGAGAGAGCAGGGCCCTTCCCTCCTGGCAGGGCCCTTCCCTCCTGGCAGGGCCATGGTGCTGCACGGAGGGAACCGGTCAGCTCTTGCGCTCTGCAGGTGGATGAGTGGCTGGGTTTTAGTCTCCAGAACTGTAACTACATCCGTCCACACACACAACTGGACAAAAAAAAGCACCCAACTACTGCGACACAACAGAATTTTGCAAGCACTTGGCTACTGATTTATTGTATTGGCTATTGGTTTACAAATGCTGGCTACAAGACAGGTCTCTAATGGCCAGTTACTTAGCTCTGCTGGCTTCTCATCTTGCAAAAGGACGCTACAAACAGCAAAGTAGACAGTAACCTCACAGCCTGAGGGACACCCCTGTGATGGTGCAGCGAGCTTCCCTGGGTCCTGTAGCTGACGGCTTCTTCCCTCCCTACCGCAGCCATGGCAAGGGAACAGAGATGCATTAACCAAATCTTCCTGCTGCTTGCTTAGCCTACAGAATATATACAATACGCAGTAGAGGAAAACCTGTTATGTATACATCACAGTAACTGTGCAATAAATTAAACTTCAAAGTGCTTCACTTTCCTATTTACAACACCATTAAATAGTAACTGACAGTATTTTCTCAGACTAGGAGGAAGTAGTTAGTTAGTTAGCTGACAGGGCAAGAGTGCTCAGCAAATACACCAAGAGGCGGGGAATGGGCTCAGCTGGCGGCTCCTCTCTGGGAGATACTTGGTAGGGAAGAGGGACTGGAGAAGTGTGAGGGCATCTTTATGGCATCAGTAAAGGGCTTTGGCAGGGATTCTGGGCTGAAAAGGGAGACCAGAGCTCGAGGCTTAGAAGACAGAGAAAGCGTGTAAAAAGCAAGTGGTGGGACTCCTGGGCAGCTGTTTAATGGGCAGGTCAAGCAGCAGCTTCAGTCTGGCTGCTGCCATCTCAAACTCAAAGCAAAGCACTGGAGAGCTTAGCCAAGCTGCCAAAGGATGGGTAGTGACGCTGTGGGCCTTCTGGAAGCTGACTTACTGCAGGAATGAGTTGCACACCTCTTCTATTCCCTCATAATGTAGGGCTTAAAAAAAGGCCATAACAATTGTATTTTAGTACCTCTTGTTTTTTTAGGGTGCTAGAAGCCTCTTCTGTTTTAGTGATTATGATTCTGAGTTGCCCAGTTCTGGTGGTACTGTCTCAGCTTCCTTGTGCTTTCCTGAGTATCGATCTCGCTCAAAAGCCCAGAGCAAGTGCTTGCTTGGGGAACAGACAAGCTCAGAAGAGCAGGAGCCACAGAGACCACCTGTGTTTTCAGTGATAAAACCACAGTCCCTGGATGAAGTGACTCTGGATTGAAGGGACCAAACCTCACCTTGTTCTGCCAACACTTGAGGGTCTGCCCAGAAGTCATCACCCACCGCACTGATGGGAAATGCCCTGCATGGCCAAGGCGGGGGGCTCAGGAGCGATCTTTTGCCTTGCCCGAGCCCCAGTGAGGTGGCATTGGGAACGAGACAAAGCTGAGCCAAAGGGAAATGGTGCCGGGGGTTGCTGGGGAGACAGGGAGGGCAGGGGAGGAGAGGGACAGGCGGGACTATGAAGGAGCAGAGGCAGGTCAGAGCTTTCTCTTGAGCTTGCGGTTGGCCCCGATGCCCCCGCTCCGTTCCCGCTTGTCCTTGCGGACGCAGAAGTACTTGGTGACCCTTTTGCGGCACTGCTCACACCGCACGGCGCAGCACCAGTGGAACTTGCAGTTGCAGCTGGACACCATCTCGGCTCGTCTCTCCTCCACTGCCAGCCCGCAGTCCCCACACAGCCGCCGGCAGCTCCGCTTCTCCCACTTGCTGAGTGCCTTGCCCCTCTTCAGGCACTCCCTGCCCTCCGTACCCAGCAGGCCCAGCGTCTTGTTCTCCAGGCAGTAGTCAGGAGAGTCTTCTAAGTGGACCAGCTCCTTCTTGGAGATGGAGCTGAAGGTCTCAGCGATGGCACCGCGGCTGGCAGCGCTGTTCCCTGCACCCTGCAGTAGGTCCACCTTCAGGGCTTTGTGGTACCTCTCCTTGAGGTAAGTGCCCACCTCCCGAAACTCGGGCAGCTGCAGCCAGCATGTCTGGGTGGTGCAGCTCCCCGACACGCCATGGCATTTGCACGTCCGCTTCATGGTCCCTTTCACGGCCTGCGGAGTGAAGAGAAAGAATGGACTCAGGAAAAAGCCCAGAGGGTTCATTTCTGTGCTACAGTGCATGGAGAAACAGGGCTGCAGGCCTGTGGAGGGGTTGAACACCACCCATCACATCAGTACTGCTGCCATCCCCTTCGTCGGCAATGCAGTTGTTTCTTCTGGGCACGTGCTTTTAGCCCCAGCAAGCTGTGACTCTCCACAGCAAATGCCAGAGCCAACCTGGCGTGCGCAGCCAGGTCTGGAGGGAAACAGGGGCTGCCTCTTCT